TGGGTACCGTTCGTGGGCGGTACGCGTGCTACTTTGATGGAAGAGGCTCACAGATTGAAATTCTCGATCCATCCCAGTGCTACGAAAATGTATTTGGACTTGAGGAAGGAATACTGGTCGCCCTGTATGAAGAGAGACGTCGCCTGGTTCGTTGAGAGGTGCTTGACCTGCCGTAGAGTTAAGGCCGAGCACCAGAAACCGCATGGCAAGTTGCAGCCTTTGGAGATTCCTGAGTGGAAGTGGGAACAGATTACTATGGATTTCATCACCAAATTACCGAGAACTGCCAGGGGAGTCGATGCAATTTGGGTGATTGTGGATAGGTTGACGAAGAGTGCACACTTCCTTGCCATCAGCGAGAGTTCATCAGCAGAGAAGTTGGCGGAGATATACGTGAGGGAAGTAGTATCTCGGCATCGAGTGCCGATCTCGATTGTTTCGGACCGTGATGTACGCTTCACTTCCAGGTTCTGGAAGAAATTCCATGAGGAGCTGGGTACTAAACTGCATTTTAGTACCGCATACCATCCCCAAACAGACGGTCAAAGCGAGCGGACGATTCAGACACTGGAGGACATGCTTCGAGCGTGTGTGTTAGATTTCGGGGGTAGCTGGGATGTGTATTTACCCTTGGCAGAGTTTTCCTACAACAAAAACCATCACTCGAGCATTTGTATGCCACCTTTTGAGTTGTTGTATGGTAGGAGGTGTCGGACCCCCATTTGCTGGGGAGAGGTGGGACAGAGAGTGATGGGCAGTACAGAGATCGTACTTCAGACGACAGAGCAGATTCAGTAGGTTAGACAAAGGTTATTGACCGCCCAGAGCCGACAGAAGAGTTATGCGGACAGACGCCGGTCCGAGCTTGAATTTCAGGTTGGCGACTTCGTTCTCCTGAAGGTTTCTCCTTGGAAAGGAGTGATCCGGTTCAGGAAGAGGGGCAAGTTGGGGCCCCGGTTTATAGGTCCATTTCGTGTGATTGCAAGGGTAGGCCGGGTAGCCTATCGGTTGGAGTTGCCAGCAGAGTTGGGACAGATCCACAATACTTTTCATGTATCGCAGTTGAGGAAGTGTATAGCCGATGAATCGGCAGTGGTTCCATTAGAGGATATTCAGGTGGATGCGAGCCTGAATTACGCCGAGAGACCAGTGGCCATCAGGGATCGGAAGATCAAGGTTCTGAGGAACAAGGAGGTACCTCTGGTGTTGGTTCAGTGGCAACACCGGAAAGGATCGGAGATGACTTGGGAGCCGGAGCGTGAGATGCGGGAGCAGCATCCGGAGTTATTTGTAGAGTGAGACTTCGAGGGCGAAGTCTAGTCCTAGTGGGGGAGAGTTGTAACAGCCCGGAATTTCAGGTATTGTTATAATTATGTTTTTGGGGTGTTTTAAGAGGGGACTCGGCGAGTTGGAGCCAGACTCGCCGAGTAGGACCACAGACTTGGTCGCAGGTTCGCGACTGTACTCGACGAGTCCAGATATGGACTCGGCGAGTCTGCGCTGTTCAGCGGAAACCCTAGCCGTTTGGTTTTGGAACGTATAAAATGGACTTATAGGCCGTCATTGTCCGTTTTAGCCTACTGAGAAGAACCCTAAACCGATTGTGCGCATCTGGAGCAAGGATTGAAGATCATTGTTGAGTTTGGAAGAGTTGTTGTGCAAGGAAGAGAAGGGCTTTGCTAAAGGAACAGCAAGAGAATCACATTCTGAGGTTTGGGGACGCAGAGAACACGTTATTCAGGTAATAAATCGAATTGCACTCTTCCATGTTGATGTGTATATGGATTTAGGGTTTATGGAACCCTTTTGGTGGCTAGATTGAATGTACCTTAGTCCCCAAACGATTGGAACCCTGTATTGGGACCTTTAGAGGTCCAGAATGTCCCATGCCTGTGCATTTCGGGAATTAAGAGAGGTTTTGGATTGGAATCCTTATTCCTTAAGTCAAAATGTAAATTATAAGTCTTGGGGTGTAGCATGAGCACCTAAATGAAGGCCTTACGTGATGGACCAGCTTAGGAGGACCAGATCTATGAATGGTCGGGACAATACTGATCTTAGGAAGCAGTTTGATCGACTGCATGGCATGGACTCGCCGAGTCCAATGAACAGACTCGGCGAGTAGCTTGGAGAATAACTGGGACTCGTCGAGCTGTTCTTCAGACTCGGCGAGTGGAGTCGGGGTGGCCCCGCGATTCTTCCACGAGGAACTCGTTGAGTCAAGAAGGATACTCAACGAGTAGAAAGGGAACATTAGGGAATTGGTGAAGACGTCTAGACTCGCCGAGTCGCCATAGCACTCACCGAGTCCGGTCAAGTTGACCGTTGACCGTTGACCAGAGTTGACCTACATGTGATTTCTTAAAGGGAAGTTGTCTTGAATGATAAAAGTGTTAATAAGGGATATATGATATTATAGGGAGTCTGTAGCTCGGCGGATCGAGTACGAGTGATTTCAGGAGTTGCTAGCTTTCCATATTCACGAGGTGAGTCTTCTCACTATACTATACCCGGAAGGGTTTGACTGTGTGACCGGAAGGTCGGATATGATATGTGATATATGTTCCATATGTGGTAAGTTAATTATTAAATGTGCTGTGTATGTTTTATGGGCCGGAAGGCAATATGTTATGGGCCGGAAGGCAATATGTTATGGGCCGGAAGGCGAATATGTTATGGGCTGGAAGGCGATTATGTTACGGGCCGGAAGGCGTTGTGTTGTGGACCGAAAGGTCAGGGCCTGGAAAGGCGTATATGTGTAAGTAGTATACTGGGGAACTCACTAAGCATTTATGCTTACAGTTGTTATGTATGTGTTTCAGGTACTAGCGAGGACCGTGGGAAGGCGCCGACGTGATGCGTACACACTGTTCGATATTTTGAGATCTTGGGGATTTTATGATTGTGTTTTGACCTAAAACTTGGAATAATTATATTTAGTTTGAATAAAGTCACTTTATTTGAAATGGAAAATTTGTTTGAAAATTTGCGTTGTTACAGTTCGAGTACCATACATCGGAGCAAATGGATGATTGATGTTATGGTTCGAGTACCATACATCGGAGCAGATTGAGGAGTGCAGTTATGGTTCGAGTGCCATACATCGAAGTGGATGGAGGAGTGATGTTATGGTTCGAGTACCATACATCGGAGCAGATGGAGGAATGATGCTATGGGTCATGTACCACACACTAGAGCATATTAAGAAGAGATGTCATGGGATGAGTACCATGGTTCGTAGTGAATGATGCTCGTGGTTCTTTGGTTATCCGATCATGATTGATGAGGTAGAGATTGGACGCTATGGGCTTTAGGCAATCCCTACAAATCAGGGATATACCAACTGACTAATAGACGAAAACTATGGAAACTAGATAAGTACCAAATCTGTTACAAAAAATTCTGAATATGAAACTATACACTTAGTAATTAATACGCTGACGCTGACACTGAGTCATACGCTGATGCTGAGTGATCAGTCTCAAACATCATCATATTATAAGGTTCGACCTTACAATCTCCCCCAATATGATGATGTTCAAAACTAGCTAGACTAGAACACCCCTGGACAAAAATTCTTCATACTCTGCTTCAGCTTCTACTTTCACTAGCCAGTAAGGACTATCTAGCAGCTCCTGTCTTCTATTTAGTAACTCTATGGCAATCAGTATATGAAACTCTCTAGAGAGATCTTGATGACTCATGCACATTTGTCTTAAACCAACAAGAAGATCTGTTGGAGCCCTTGGAATTTCTGTAGTATGCTGAAAACACATTTTTCCGTTCTAATCAAGATAAAACATTCCATGTTCAGGAACAGAGATGAACTTATGTTGAACTGGCTCAACACCAATAGGAAGAGAGTTGTTTATTTCTTCAGCACTAAAATTTAGAACCAATACATCTTCACCATCAACTTGAAATCTAGTTTTTCTGATTCTTGGAACTGAGGAACTTGGGCCTTGCTGCTGAGGACGCTCTGTAGGAGCAAGATCAAGACGCTGAACTTTCTTGATCAGTAAGTGAAGAGCACAGGTCAGTTCTGAAGAAAGAGCTGAAGTTTTCTTGGATGCCAACTCGAGAAGTTCCATCCATTCAGAGTATCCGTATCTAATCATCTAGTCTCTCTTTATAACTTCAGTGTATGGATGTTGAGGACCTTGATGAGTGATCAGCAAAGTTAGGATTTTCTCGTCACGAGGTTTTGAGGTTTTAACTTTGATGATCTTGTCATTGCTTATTCTTCGTTTGAAAACATTTTGAAACCTTTTGCGATCAATTCTGTCAAGAACACTATCAGTCCTTGACTTACTGCTACTAGAAGGAGGTTGTGAAGATTCAATTTTGGACTGATATTCTAGAAACCTTTGCATTTGAGCTTTAAAGGATCCCATTGTCTGAAGTTTGTGCTGAATGAGAGATTCATCAGCTTGAGCAATATTCTTTAGAAGTTGAGCTTTGTTGGCTTCATCAAGGATTTGCTTAACTTGATCAGGGGTCATATTCCATTCAGCTACCAGATTTGATATGCTAACAATGGAATTATGTTTATTGCTAGGAGGAGAAGTATCAGCATGTGAATCAGATGATTCAGTATTTGCTTCCTTTTGCTTTCGACATAAAGGAACAGGATCCTCACTAACTACATCTGAGTTTTCACCTTGAACTGGCACAGTGGGATCTATGAAGTTCATGTCCAGCATCTGACACTCATCATCATGTTCACATTCTTCAGTAGGCTTTTCAGTTTCTGCTAGTCTCTTAGACTCGTGCTCAGGCTGTGGTGGCTCGGTTCTATCAACAGAATCAGTTTCTGCCCCTTTTTGACCATCATCATCATTTGGGCCAGGGGAAGGAGTTGACAGAATAACTCTCTTCTGTTGGTTTACATCAGCCTCAATACGTAGAAGACACCGACTCATATCTCGAGTCAGTGTAAGAAGCTCATTAAACGTTGAGGCTGGAATTTGAATGAGCTGAGTACCTGGAATTTCTTGTGATCAATGCTGCTCCCCCTGACATGGTTGCTCCACCTGACCAGATGACTCCCCATGAGCTGAATGAACCCTTTCAGTGACAGAAATAGTATTATGAGAAAGTTGAGGGGAGATATGACCACCTTCTTGTATTTCAACTTGTATTTCAGCATGAACTTCATCGTTAACAGCATCTCCTTCGTCAGTGTCAGCGTTTAGTGAAGGAACGGTATATGGATTTGCGATCCATTCTTGCATCCGATCAGAGATGCCGATGCCATTGGCCAGTGGATCATCCGGATACATTCGTACTGACATGCGTGTGCATTGGATGGGGTTTCCAACGTGTGAGTAATAGGCTTTAGCATGAAATTTATCCAGGACAAGAGCAATCCAGCGTGGAAACGGAACATGATCAACTCTTACATTGGCCCAAAGAAGTTGGACAAGCTGATCGAAGAAGAAAGCCCCATAATCAACACATTTGTTGAGGAGAAGTGAACATACCACTTGTTGCTCAAAAGAGCTCAATTGATCACCACTGCGAGATTTGTGACCTACACACTTACAAAGTGCCTCGGTGAAGAACTTCCATCCAGGAGTCATACATTGATGTAGAATGAGAGCTAGTCGAGCACCAGCCTTGGAGTGATCATAGCCCAGTTGGTCAAAGAGGCGTCGACAGCGTTCAATAGTTGGAAGCTCAGAGAATGGTTCAAAAATTGGTAACCTGAGTGCAGTACGGAGGAGATCAGCGTTGATGAAAACTGAGCGACAGCCACAGCCAATAGTGCCGGAGATGATGTTGTTTTCATTATTGACTGTTGCGGTGTAATAGAACTCACATACTTGTTCGGGAAAGAACTCTGATGGAACCTCACTGATAGCATATCGAAGTCTGCAAGATACTAGAAAATTGCCAAAATCATCAATTCCAAGACCGCGATGAACATCTGGTATATCAGGGTTGAAGACGAAATTTGTGGCTTTGATGTATATGGGAAGAGGAGGAGAGTTTGGAGCTGGGATGACTCTTCTTGAGGTGGAGGAGAAAGTAAATAGTGATGCCGCCATTGAAGAGAGTTTGGATTTTAGGGTGTTGAAGAAAAGAGAAGGAAAATTGAATTGTGGGAGGAAAGTTTAGGAGAGAGGTGGTGAATGAGGTTTAAATATGGGATTAAACGGTTTTTAAAAAGGTAATGATTATCTTTTTCGAAAATAACTGTGTATCTTAACAAACTGTCAAATCCGAAAAAATAGCCGTTGAAAATAATCCGTTGTAATAAAGAGGAAACGACAATCAGTGTTTGCGTAAGCGCTGAGATCAGTGACACTAAAAGTTACATGCTGAAAGATAATTTGTCATCAATTCAAGGTTGCAACTTGCTTGTTTAGGGTTAGCAAGGTGGTTGGTGCGTGTGATAGATACTGGGTTAATTATCTAACCATCGGCACAGAGTGTTGAGTCTTTATCAGTGAGTGGTGGTTCTTACTGAATCATTAGACATTGAGTGAGAAGAAGGTGAAGAGAGGATTGTTGCGTGTGATAGACCTTGGTGTTTTAGTTTAACCATCGACAAAGACTGTTAGACTCTCATCAGCATGTCTTTTGTCACACTGAATCACAAAATCAGTGTGAGATTGGTAAGAAGGGATAATTGCGTGCCATAGATCTTGGTGTTTTGTCTAACCATCGGCAAAGAGTTTCAAGTTGTTATCAGTGTATGGTTTAATACAGTGAATCATTTGACTTTAGTTTAGAAGATTTCTAGAAGAGATAGAGATAAGAGATCATACAAGGTACTCAGCATGGAAAACATCATCAGCACATCATCATCAGCAAAAAAAAAATACATCAGTTTATAAGACAATAGCAAACATTAGTAAATTTTTTTTTAATCCAGAGTGATCATTCCAAGTTCTCCAGTAATGTGAGCAGTAGTTTGAGTATCCAGGGACTTGGTGAAAATATCAGCTAGTTAATCTGAAGTCTTGACATGTTCTAGAACAACCTTGCCCTTCTCAACATTGTCTCTGATGAAGTGATGTCTGATCTCGATATACTTTGTCTTTGAGTTCTGAACAGGATTTTGTGTGATCTGAATGGCACTAGTGTTATCATAGTATATAGGAGTCCTTGTGAATTTAAGCCCATAGTCTAAAAGCTAATTTTGAATCCATAAGAGCTGAGCACAACATCTCCCAACTGCAACATACTCAGCTTCTGCAGTGGAGATAGCTACTGAGGTTTGCTTCTTGCTAGACCAACTCATTAGTCGATTTCCAAGGAAATAACATCCACCTGACGTGCTCTTCTTGTCTAAGTTGCATCCTGTATAGTCGGAATCAGTGTATCCAAAGAGTTCAAGTGCTGAGTCACGAGGGTACCACAATGCCAAATTCTGAGTGCCCTTTAAGTATCAAAAAATGCATTTAACTGCAATGAGATGAGACTCCTTGGGATTAGCTTGAAATCTAGCACATATAATGGTTCCAAACATGATATCAGGGCGACTTGCAGTGAGGTAGAGAAGAGATCCAATCATTCCTCGATAAAGAGAGTGATCAACATCAGTGCCGGTGGGATCATCGTGTAGCTTATCAGTCTTGGACACCGGAGTAGAGATCGGTTTGCAGTTGCTGAGAGAGTACTTAACAAGCATGTCAACAATATACTTACTTTGACAAATTGAGATACCTGATTTTTGTTGCTGAACCTCAAGACCTAAGAAAAAGGTCATCTTCCCCATCATGCTCATCTCGAACCTTTGAGACAAGATCTCAGCGAATTCCTTGCTCAACTTCTCATTTGGCGAGCCAAAGATGATATCATCGACATAGATTTGAGCAAGAATCATGTCTGAGCCTTTGTTTTTGATGAAGAGTGTATTATCAATTGCTCCTCTTCTGTAGCCATTTTCAACAAGATATGATGTCAGTGTCTCATACCAGGCCCTGGGAGCTTGCTTCAGCCCATATACAGCTTTATCCAGTTTGTACACATAGTCAGGGTGCTCTTTGTCTTCAAAGCCTGGGGGCTGTTTGAGAAACACTTCTTCTTCTAACACACCATGAAGAAATGTTGTTTTGACATCCATCTGGTAGAAAATGAAGTTCATGTATGAAGCATATGCAAGGAACAATCTGATTGCTTCAATGCGAGCAACTGGAGCAAAAGTCTTCCCGTAACAAGTCTTGCTTTGTTACGAGTAATAACACCATCTTTATCAACCTTGTTTTGATAGACCCAGCGTGTTCTTGTGATGGTCTTTCCTGATGGTTTGGGAACAAGAGTCCAAACCTTATGCCTTTTGAACTCATTCAGCTCGTCTTGCATGGCTTTAATCCAGTCAGCGTGTTGAAGTTCTGAGTGTATCTTGCCAGGTAAGATCATTGAAACAAAGTTAACATACATGCAAAAATTATTAGATACACGAGATCTGGTTTGGATACCATCATGAAGATTTCCAATAATTTGATCAACAGGGTGATCTCGATGTTCTGGAGCTAATTCAAATGAGTTTGACACTGAAGAGTTATCAATGAAAGGAACATCAGTTACAGTTGAGTCTTCAGATTCAAGGGTTTCATCAGCAACTGACAAAAAAGTTGTCGTGCTGACTGCAATGCCTTGATTGACAGGACTTGGGTCTGGAACGATGGGATAAGGAATGACAGCTTCTTCTTCAGTATGTGAGACTTCATCAAATGGACAGGAGAGAAGCTCTTGAAAAATAGAAGGAGAATGAGCTACTTTTTCATCAGTGTAGTATTCTTCATCAAACTTTACATGAATGGATTCCTCAATGCATTGCCTGTTCACATGAAAAACACGAAAAGCCTTTGAAATAGATGAATATCCAACAAAAATACCTTTGTCAGCCTAAGGCTCAAATTTTGATATGGGGTCGCGCTGATTAAGAATATAAGAAATGAATCCAAACACGTTAAAGAAGGATACGTCTGACTTTCGACCTTTCAGCATCTCATATGGTGTCTTCTTGTGAACCCTGTGAATTAGAGAGCGATTCTGAGTATAACATTTGTATTAACAGCTTCAGCCCAAAACGACATAGGAAGACCAGCATGAATCATTAAGGTCCTTCCTGCCTCAATCAGTTTTCGATTTCTTCGTTCAGCAACTCCATTTTGTTGAGGCGTGCGAAGAGCTGAAAAGTTCTGCCCAATAACTTTAAAATCACAAAAGTCTTCAAGAGTCGAATTCCGGAACTCAGTGCCATGATCACTCCTTAGCTGCTTAACATTGAGACATATCGTTTTGTTGAATCAGTGAGATAATTTCCTGTGCAGCTTGACCTTTCTTCTTCAAGAAAGCCACCCACATAAATCGGGTAAACTCATCCAAAACCACCAGCGTATACTTATTTCCTCCTTGGGAATGAACATGAATAGGTCCAAACAAGTCCATGTGTAGTAAATAAAGAGGAACAGATATTCTAGAACATGACTTGGGTTTGAATGATGACTTAGTTTGCTTTCCTTGTTCACATGCTGAGCACATCTTGTCTTTGACAAAGCTGAATTTTGGGAGACCTCTAACTAGATCTTGATTGGATATTTTAGATAGATTCTTAAAGTTCAAGTGAGAGAACCTTTTGTGCCAAATCCAGCTGAGATTGGTTTGAGACTTGGTAAAGAAACATTGCATCAGTGCCTTTTCACTTGAGAACTTGTCAAGAACATATATATCATCTTTTCTACTTGCTGAGAGTACAATGTTCTTGTCAGTGTTGATGACTCTTCCTTTGTTCTTTGTAAAATGAACTTCATAATCAGCATCACACAATTGGCTAATTGAGATAAGATTGTGTTTGAGACCCTTCACATATGAAACATTCTGAAACACCACATTATTGCACTTGATCTTCCCATATCCTTTAGTAAACCCCTTTCCATTGTCTCCGTATGTTACTGCAGGACCAGTTTTCTTGACATAGTCTTACAGGAGAGACTTGGATCCTGTAATATGTCTTGAGCAACCGCTGTCTAAGTACCAAAGATGCTCTTGACCCTGCAGTGTTGAGAAACTAGTTAGAACACACTGACCCATTGTAAGATGGGTCATTCACAAAGTTATTTGAAAATATATTATAACACTCTTTAGGAAGACAGTTCAAAGAATTTGATTTAAGAGTCCATCTTTCATTTCTAACTTTGATGTTGTCAGCTTTTAACGATGTTTTATCAAACTTGCATTCACTAATATTGTGAGAGGTGTCACCACATCTGTAACAAAATCTAGTACCAAAGTTTTTCTTGGTGAGCAGATTTCTAGATTTAACACATTTGGATTTGAAAGATTCACCAAGTGAACTTTGAGTCCTTTTATTTGACATTGAATTACAACTGAATTCAGTGTCAGAAGAACTATGATCAGTGATGGATAAGGAGCTGACATCAATATCAGATTTAGACTTATGCACTGAAACACTGCAATCATGATAATGTTTAAGATGTTCATGAACAACATGAAACACTCCATTTGAGATAGGAAATGCGATAATATTTTCAGTGAGAGGAGTTGGTCTCTCAAGATGTGCAGGGTAAGAAGTAGGATCAATTCTGGTAATTTTAGTATTACACTCAATAACACCATTAGAATTAGTAACACAGTATTCACCAATGAGACTCTGATTAACAAAAGTGTTGCTGATAAATTTGTTTTTGAAACTATCTTTCAATTCATTCATGGAATAAAATTCAGATTCTTTTTCTTGAGATTTAAAAACTTTTTTAGCTTCAGCAAAATTTCCCCCAAGGATTTTCACACATGAATGAGGTATTTGAGCAGAAATGACATAATTAGCATTTTTGTGAGATTTAGCCCAGAGTTTTAGCACATTTTGTTCTTTGTTCAAGAGGTCTTTAACTTTATCGATTTCAGTAGATAGCGAGGAATTTGATAAACTAGTAACTCTTAGATTTTCCTGAGTAGTGTCAATAATGTTATTTTTCAAGGATAGTTCAGTTTTAAGAAGATCAATTTGATTATGCATATCTCTTATGATTTGATTCTTCTTAGAATTAAGAACACCCAAATACTCAAACATATT